TGCTTTAGAAAACCTTATCAAGTCCTCTTCTACAGTTCAAAGTTAAGATTAGATTAATTAACTGGCGTTTAACCAACTTTTCTCTATTTTTGGAAGAAAAGACTCTTGTTCTCCACCCAGTTTATGTTAAGAAAACTCCTGTGTCAAAAACTCAATCACTAGGACTAGTGTGCTGTGAGGGAGTCTTGTGTCTTTGTCGTTGTAGCAAATGAAGCATTTCTCCTGGCGGGATGGACAGCCTGGTAAAGTGTCAAAAGCTGCTGGTTTCCCTTGTTTGTTTTATTTAGTTGTTTGTGAATTGGGTAGGAGTTTGGAGATTAGATTATCATTTTCCTTGTTTTAAATGCCCTTGTTTTTTGTTTATGTAAACCCTAAAAAGGTGGCATCAGTTTTGGAAAGAATGTGACTTGTGGATTAATAGAAAGTGGTGGCACTGTAGTAAAGAGAGCCTCCACTCGATGCCTAAAATTCAGCCAACTATTGCTTTGACCATTAGCAATAGTGCTAGTTACCCTTCACCAGCATTTGTACCAAATGGAGTTCTGGTTTTAGTTCATGAATACACCGTGTATGAGGAGATTCAACACTACAAACAGCTACAGGACTCTGAATTCATGGCTTCTTCCATCACAAAACGGGTAGAAACACATTCACTGCTTCAGGGTTCTAATCTGTGTATATTCTATGCTTCCTTTTCTGTAAGATGCTCTAATTTTGATATGTGTTGTATTTTCTTTAACTCATGTTTAAAAGACTTGTTTTATTCAGCAAGACAACTCTACTGCCATGGTGTGCCCTTCTCTTCAGTATGGTTTTAGAGTTCAGCTGAACTGTTAAGACTCTCATTGTCTACCCAATCAATACACATACATCTTCACCGTTTGAAAGGTGGTAACAGTTTAAGGAATCTTCATGAACCTGAAGATAATTTCTTATGTCACTGAATGCAAGTGTGCTGTCATTCATAGTGTTTATATAAAAAAAAGACTAAGAATCTTCATTTTTGCTACGTTAATATAGCATTGGGCTATCATATTAAAGCATTGAAATACATCAATTTATTAAAAATAATACTTTTCTAAAAAAAAAAAGATGGCCCCTCTTCAAAGACTTTTAAAAAGGATTTAAAACACTTTAAAAAAAGTAAATAAAAGAAAGGTCAAATTTGCCAAGTAGGGGCCAAACACTGGTCAGCTGCCAGGGTAAGACCGTAGTTTTGGCCTTATATCAGGAGAAAACTAGGAGAGCAAAAAGCTCTACCCACAGTTTAGATACAATTCTGCCTAGAAAGCTCAAGTTTCAAATTCAGACCAAAAAGACACTCTAACCTTTTAAAAATAAATATTGTCATTTGTTGTTGTTAAGTGCCATCAAGTTGGTTCCGACCCATAGCAACCCTGTATAGGGTTTCCGAGGAGCAGCTGGTAAGCTTGAACCACAGACTCTGCAGTTCAAATGGCTTTGCAGTCTGGTGCATTAACCCACAGCACCACACCAGGGCTCCAAAATAAATATTAGGAAGAGAAAAAAAAGAAAAACCACTTTTGGATAGTGGTTTACCTATAATTTAAGAGCCAGAAGAAGCTGCTGTCAAATAATATAAGCACTGCATCCAAAAGACATTTATGCTGACTATGAAAAAATAAAATGCACAAAAACACCCTTTCCCTAAAAAGGCTTTATTCTTGTGACAAAATTTAACATCAGCCACCTAAATAGAATGTGGTAACTACAATAATATAAAAATAAGGTAGGCCCATAATAATATAAAAATAAGGTATGCCCATATGTATTCAAAGGAGCTCTGGTAGCGTAGTAGTTATGAATCAGGCTGCGAACTGCAAGGTCAGTAGTTAGAAACTACCAGCTGCTCTGTGGGAGAAAGATGAGGCTTTCTGCTCCCGTAAAGATTTACAGCCTTGGAAACCCTGTACAGGGTTGCTATGAGTCAAAACTGACTCCATGGCACATAACAACATATGTATTCAAATAGTTGAGTTACATACATATATAGCATTTTTCAAATATATATTAGATTATTTCCCATAGGCTAATAAAGCACTGATAATTTATGTAGTAACAGAATTGGCAAATCATTGTCATCATCTTTTAAAAGATAAAGCACACTGGGAATAAATAAGTTGGACTATAGTTCAAGGAAAATGTTCCTGTTCAGTTTAAAAAGAGTTTTAAAAATACTTTTCAAGCAGTATCCTACATGAATTATTCCATACTTTGCACAATAAGAAACAAAAATCTCTTTGCATCTTTTATTATTGAGTATGAAGCCATTTAATAGATTTCATTAAATTCCAATATTAAAAAGCCATTCTAATACAGTTGCTAACTGCTCTAAACTAAGAGTTTGGGTAGAGAATTAATGCCTTAAGACATCTACTATAAATAATTAACGTCTTTCCTATGCACTTGTTGTTATCGTTAGGTGCCGTGGAGTCGGTTCCAACTCATAGCAGCCCAGTATAGGGTTTCTGAGGCTGTACATCTTTATGGGAGCAGAAAGCCTCATCTTTCTCCTGCAGAAAGGCTGATAGTTTCGAACTGCCGACCTCGAAGTGCACAGCCCAATTAGTAACCACTACACTACCAGCTGCTTTTCCTATGCACTAGAAAGGCATTATCATTTAAATCATTTTCCATACTTTGGAAATGCTAGTTCATATAAGAAATTCCAGTTGAGAAAGACTGAAGAACAAAAGTTTTAGTACCCATTAATAAAAGTCATGGCAAACCTGTAACTGCACCCCTTTCTTGTCTTCGTTTTCCACATGAAGACGAATTCTGCCAAATTTATCATCTGAAATCCTAAGCATGATCATGCCATGCAACTCCATATTCTGTAATCCTCCGTCTCTTCCACAGGTTAATGTGATCTTTTCCTCAATCTTCATATGTACACTGTAGAGAAAAAACAATACACTCTATCATAAAGGTAGAGGCCAGAATTTCCTTTCTCCCAAGGTTGAATAGTGCTTAACAACCTATGAGTTTTTGTTTTGTTTTTTAAGGAAATGTTGCTATTATGTATCAAAATTTAAAACATTCTACCTTTTGTTACCTGGTGTGGCACTGTGGGATAAGCATTGGACTGAGCTCTGGTAGTATAGTGGTTATGAATTGGGCTGTGAACCACAAGGTCAGCAGTTCGAAACTACTAGCCATTCCACAGGAGAAAGATGAGGCTTTCTGTTCCTGTAAAGATTTACAGCCTCAGAAACCCTGTTCAGGGTCGCTATGGGTTGGAACCGACTCGATGGCACTTAACAACAATAACAACAAACCACAAGGTCAGCCATTCAAACCCATAAGCCAATCCTTAGAAACCCAATACAAAGTAAGTTGGAACTGACTCAACAGCACTTAACAAAACCACCTTTTGACACAGAAATTCCTTTCTAGAGTTTATCCTACAGCGAATTCTAATATATGCAAAATAATGTACTAAGTTATTCACTGAAGAATTGTCTGTAATAACAGAAGTTTGTAACAACAAATGTCCATCAACAGGGGGTTGCTTAAACAGATAACGGTCTATCCACATAAAAAAGCAAAAAATTTTCTAACTTTTAGAAATTAAAGAATAAAATTTTATGAGGAATACATGTATACCCTTTACCCAGATTTGACTACTATTAACGTTCTATCCCATTTATTTGCATCTGTATACTCTCTTACATACACACACTTTCTATGTGTCTATTTATTTTCCTGAACCATTTGCAGGCATATTATAAATACATCAGGGCTAACTACTTCAGTATATACTAAGAATAAAGACATGCTCTTTCAACAGCTATCAAAATAATCTGCATAATACATTTATTTAATCTACCATCCATATGCCTGCCAACTTTGTCAGTTGACCTAATGTCTTCCATGTTGCTGTTGTATGCTACTGAGTCAATCCTAAATCACAGCGACCCTATATAGGGTTTCTGAGGCTGTAAATCTATCTGAGCAGAAAGCCTCATCTTCTTCTCTCAGAGGGGCTGGTGGATTCAAACTGTGGACGCTGCAGTTAACAGCCTAACACATAATCCATTATGCCACCTAGTACAAGATTCAGTTTAGCGTCAGGTATTTAGATGCCATGTTTCTACAGCCTCAAATAAGGAAATTCTTATCTCTAAAATAGAAAGATAAAGAAAAGAAACTGAAGAATGTGCTATATATTACCTTTTGTGTATAAAAAGGGTTTGAAAAAAAATAGAACACATATTATGTTTTCAGTTGCCTACACGAGATTCAACATCACACCACCACCACCACGATACTTAAGACTATCCCCCTTATAAGAATATACAAAAACCTGGTTAAATACTAATTACCTCCAAGAAGCCCTGGTAGGTTATGAGTTGGATAGCTAACCACAAGATCAGCAATTTGAATCTACCAGCTACTCCAAGGGAGACAGATGAGGCTTTCTGCTCCTATAAAGATCTACAATCTTGGAAAGCCTATATATGTTCGTTATGAGTGGTTGCCTCCAGAGAGAAATAATGTGTGGCTGGAAAACAGGGGTGAGAGGAAGACTTTTCACTGTATATTTATATGAACTTTTGAATTTTGAATTATATCCATGTTGTTGTTGGACCTTGCAGTCCAGTGCATTATCCTGCAGCACCATACCAGAACTCCACTGTTATTATGCCAATGTTGTTAAGTGCCATCGTGTCAGTTCTGACTCATAGCAACCTCTATAGGGTTTTTGAGGAGTGGCTGGTGAGTTTGAACCGCTAACCTTGCAGTTCAAATGAACCCTGCAGTCCAGCGAATTACAATGCAGCACCACACCAGGAATTCTATCAATGTATAACCTAAAAAATAAATACTGTTGCTGCTATGGACAATTGTTAAGCATAATCTATTCATATTCTTCTTTTGACCTGTAGTGATGATAGTGTAGGACCAGGCAGTGTTTCATTCTGTTGTGCACAGGGTCACTCACTATGAGTCAGAACCAACTCAACATAACACTAGACTATTTTTGTTGAGTGAACTGCAGAGGATGCAAAGTGTATTCTGACATCCTACTCTGTTCTGGTTCCAACTTCTTAGGTGTATTTCCGATTTTCCTGAAGGGTCTGGTTAAGAGAAGGTGGGGAAAGATGCTGGTAGGATTCTATGACTCAGTACTGCCTGTTAACAGGGTTAATGGTGATTGTAACACTTGGAACTCTAATGTAGGGATTGGTCAATTTTTCCATTATGCAGGAGTGGGAATCTTATTGCCATCAAGAAAGAAAAGCCAAGAGTGAAGCATGTCCTTTAGACACTGAGATCCCTGGTGCATTGAACCTACTTGATCAAGGAGAGACAAGAGAACTGGGACAACAGAGGAGTAGCAGAGAAGTGGAAGAGGAGCAGTAAGAGCAAGACCAAGAGACAGAAGCACCAGACTGAGCAGCCCAGCAGTGGTGGGCAAGTAAAGCCCATTACCTTTGGGCATGGGGCTCACTTGCAAATTGGAAGGCCCCCAGGCATTGAACTGGGGAAAGCTAGGTTTGCTGAACCATGGAGCTCTGAGCTCTGGCCTTCAGGCTGAGGTTTATACTAGAGTGAAGTGCCCTGTGGGCATTTATCAGCAGCCCTAAAATAGGTTTTTAATATTGGCTGAGCAGGATAGAGGCCAAGGGGGAAAAAATAGGGAATGGGGAGAGACAATGCAGGGTTTCATTTTGGATCCATCTGGAGTTTAGTCCATGTTTGACAGATAAAAAGTCTCTCTCAAATTCTTTAATACATGATGGCATCCAAATTAAAAACATAACAAAACAAAACTTCAAGACTCATTCTCATTCAAAGCAACCACTGGGAAGCCTTAGCAGTTCAAGAGATTTATCCACATGTAAGTGTTCATTTCATACAAAACAGGACACATAAAGAGTAAATTCTCTTCGTATCTGAAAGGTATCCTTCCTGACTCATCTTTCACTTGACCTCAAAACCATCAGCAACAGTAGAAGGTCTGGGTTTTAAGACAAGCAATTGGAGTAACGAATATGTTAACTTGATAACTACCACTTAAAAATAATACCAACCATTACCACAACCCTAAGAGAAAAAAAACATACTATACTGGGTTTAGAATAACTACAGACAGTATGTTAGTTTACTATTAATACTCATAAATTTTGGCTTAAAGGTAGGTTCTCCTCAAAGTTTAATCAGAAAAAGACATCTGTGAAAAATAACAAGGAAGCTGCAAACCACCAGTTAACATGGATGAACCTTAAAGGCATTATGTTAAGTGAAATTAGTCACAAAAAGAGAAATACTGCATAGGACCACTACTGTAAAAGACTAAG